AATAAGTCTAAGAGTAACCATAATATTTTAGATTTTATAATCTCTGTATAAATTGTAAATAAATATAAATAACTAAATTAATTAATAAAGTACGCTTAGATGTGTTTTAAAAAAAAAAAAAAAGACTCATCCAATTTACTTGAACTTTCATAATCACTTTTATCAGAGCTTTCTTTATTTTGTATTTCTTTTGGGATATGTTTTACTCTTGGAATACCAGTTATATGTCTAAAGTCAATAGGAACTTGGATTTTTATGTCTTTATTTTTGATTTTCATTACTGACTTTTCCCAATTAATTTTTGCCTTAGCTTTGGAAAGCCAGTCATTTCCAACTATTACAGAATAAATATCTGTATCAGCAACTACTACATTAATTGATAGAGAGTATTCTCCAATTTTAACAGGAAGATTTTCTACTTCTCCTAAAGGTCTTCTTTTTTCTCCATTTACATTTAACATAAGAGTTGTAGAAGGTTTTGTAATTTTTAATCCAATTCATTTAAAGAAATGATTAGAAATAATGCTACCAGCAGAGCCACTATCAAGAATAATATTTGTAATAACTCTATTAATATTTGCTTAACAGTATAATACTGTAGTTTTAAACTTTCCATTATCAGCATATTGTGCAGTTATCATGGGCTGTGGTCCAGCCTTAATTTTCTTTCTACAAAGTCCTTTACTTAACTCTCTTCTATATTTTGGATTATCTGCAACTAATTAAGCTACAGTAATATTAGCTTTGACATTTATAAGATCTTCTAGTACAGAGTATTTATTTATTTCTTTTCCTATTGGAGGTTAGTAATATCTAGATGCTTGTAAAGGATCTCGTTTCTTTTTTTTGTTTAGTAGGTTTTGTGGCATTTGAAGATTCAGCTTGCAGGTTATTTGTAATAATATTTTGAACTTCTTGGTTATTCTGTTTATCATTAACTATTGCTCTTTTTCTTTTATTTACAAAAGCATCATCAGCTAACTCTTCTTCTTTGAGGCAGA